TATATATGGATGGTGTTAGCCATCACTTTAAGATCAGGAGTTTACAGCTTTTAATATCTTACAGTAAAAGTGATAAATGAAGTCAGTGCTGCTCCTGGTATGCTCATGGGCTTTTTTTTTAGCTCAGGTAGGCTTTAAGGGAAAAGTGAGTCTGAAAGCTCACTGTAATCTCCTTTGGATCAATTTAAGGGGATCTATGGAGTGCAGTATTTCTCCCATCAAGAAGTGGACTCTGAAGACCGTTTAATCTTGATTTCAGTCCATTGCTGGTGGAAAGAGTAGTGAGGTTGGAGTTCTGCATTTAGAAAACAACACGGAAAGCAAAGGCCTCTCTGGTAGTTCTTACTAGTATGGCTGCAACATGCAAATGTACGGTGTTAAGGATAGAATTAAGGCTGTGGGAGAGCTTTAGCTCTAGGTGTACAGTGACCTAAAGCCAGAAAAATAGCAGCATGAGCTAGCAGCAACACTGTAGCTTTCAGTGCCAGAACACTGCAGGCATTTTGGGGGGGGGGGGGGGAAAAAAAAAACACACACTAAAACAAAACAAAAAAAAGGGGGAACAAACAACAACACTATTCAAAGCTAATAACTAACAGTGCTACCATGCCAGTTAACTATCATGCACCATTAAGTAGCTGTTCGAGCCATTGTAAATGTGTACGATGCTTAATACCTGACTTGATGGAGGGTGCTGGCTCCAGGCTCCCTGAGTGGGAAGAAGAGGCCATGCCTGCAGAAGGAACGACTTCTACACTTCACCTTTATCTCATTGAGAAGTGGAGTTGAAGTGCTTTGAGAAAGTGACCTTGAATTTTTATCTAGTGGTCCTTTCCCTAGAAGGTGAATGTCCATGGAATAATCTTTCCAAAGATACATAGGCTTTTTTCCCCTACAACTCTTAGCATTAACTATGGTATGGTGCAAAGATGTGAGGAGCTTTCCAAATAGAAGCTAGGAAGGGCTTCTCAATGCAACCTGATTGTCTTGACAGTATTGATGTGAGATCACACTCACCTCTCTGCCTAGAGAAGGGGAATTTAGTGGGCAGTACATCCAGAGAAGTTGTGCTCTCTTCTGTCCCAGAGTTCAAACTGATGCAGATCCTTTGAGCTTTTAATCAAATAGAAAAAGCATTCAGAATTTTAAAGGTAATTGGCCAAGCAAGATCTTTAAGAGGAATCTGTAAGTTGCTGTGTTGCATTCAAATTTGGACTGGAAACTGTTTAAGGGTAAATCAGTCTCGTGCATCCTGGAGGTCCTGGTTCTTCATCTCTAACACTTTCTACCTTGCCATGTCAAAGCAAAATCACTTGAGACGCAGGAGAGCCTAACCCAGCTAGAAGTAACTTCCTAGTGTAAACAGAGTGAGCATTCCTGTAGAACATCCTGCCTCAAGGAGAGGTCCTGCAACTTTCTCTTCTCTTCTCTTCTCTTTGTATCTACTACCGTTAACATCTCAGTTGTCTTAAAGAGCTCTTCTAGTTGGTAATAATAAATACAAATGACCCCTCAGATGGAAGGATGAGTCCGATAATATTCTTCATTGTGTGTAAAGTTAGGAGCAAGACTTCTACAAGAAAAGATGATCTCCCAGTTGTTAAATCCGTCCTTTTGTAAAGGATTCCTGTGTATTTTATTTTAGAAGGAGCTGTCATGAATAAGCTGGGTTGACTTGCTAGAGCAGAGGATAAGCAAACAAAGCTGTCATACCCAAAGTCATCAGCATGTTCTTCCTGGCCAGCTCTGCACCTTGAGACTCTCTACTTATGCTCCTGACTGGCATCTGCTGCAGAATGTCCTATATTCTAGAAGCATCAGCTGTGTGGGAGCTGCCAGTGACTGAAGTCACCCACTCCTGGAGTGCACGTGGGCCTGCAAGGTTCTTCCCAGGGCCTGCTGAGAAACAAGACTGAGGGAGACTTGGGTCTGATCTCTGTGTAGTTTAGCATTAGGATTTTTCCAAAAGGTGGAAGCAGGGGTTAAATTGCCTTGCAGCTTCAAGCAAGCAGTAGCAGTGTTATTAAGCAGTAACTGTGGTGTTAAACAGGAGTGTTCAAGAAGAGTAAACAAGAATTAAGAAAGTACTGTGCAGCTCTTCACACAAGGACAGCAATAAAAGCCTACCTCTCATAAGTCCTCCGAACTGCTCCTGTGCATGCTTTGATCAGAAAAAAGCACCTTCCCAACAGTGGACTGTTACAGTCTAGCTGTACTCCTCAAGGTGCCAAAAGAAAGGGGAATGGCAAGAGCCCCATGTGTAACCTGGGAAGAGAAAGCCTTGTCTCAAGACAGAGGTCTGCACCCTTGAAGAGCCCCGTTTCTCCCTCAAATAGGAACTTGCAGACCTGCCTGTGTCTTCCAGGTCAAACCAAGACCATTGCGGTCTGCAGCTGTTAAAAAGGAGGAGGGAAGAAATATATTCTCTTACAGTCCAGATAGATGTAGGTCCTTTGTTACCCAGACCTAACGCCTCGCTCTTGCTTTCAAATGTGTTTCTCAAGACTGCAGAGGTCTGTGCCTTGCTAGCTATTATGCTGAGGTCTAAAAACAGCTTGCTGAGAGATTCTGGAGATAAGAGAGGATGGCGATACAGCTGATGCATAGCTGAGGATATAGCTGATGCTGTCTACTCACTTGAAGTCTGGCAGAGTGGTAGCATTTGCAATGCTAGTTTCCAGTGTTAAAAGCTATTTTTTAGGTGACAGTAACCATTTAGTTCTCATGTAAGGTTATGTGCTGCACCAAACTGCTGCAGAGAAACTGTGCTAGTAGGTTGTCATTGCTGCTAACGATTGTGCAAGCTGCAGAAGAGGGCTTAATGTAGACATGCAGGCGCTGCATGAGAAGCAAGGCAAACCATCGTTTATGCTGATGCTGTACTGCTGTGGCTAGATCACCCAGTGCTGCAGTTCAGACATGCCCTCAGGAAAACAAACTACATGAAAGTCACTCTTAATCACCCTCAGCTGATCACCCTGTGTTGAATAAACACTGCAGAACCAAGATGACGATGACAAAAATCATACCTCTCCAGCTGCAGTGAGCACGTAGCTCTGCCGAGGGGGTGTGGTGTGGTTGGTTTGGTTCTGTTTTTCTTGCTTGGGCAAAATCAGGTCTGCAGGACTTGGTTGGTTGTATCGGGTACGCTACAAGCGGTATGCTACGAGCTATTGGTTGCTGTAGTTTCTAGGGCTGGAAATGTAGCCAGGGTGTATGCAAGTTAGTTATGCGACACTGGACCCTAATGACACTCGTGCTGAACTTCTCTTTAGTGGATGTGTCCTTGCTGAAATGGCTGTGTGGCAGCATGCATGGGTCTGCCATTCCATGAGACGTCAGGGAATACGCTTGGTCTCTAGCTGGAGTTCTGTTGGTAAGGACACTGCACTGTAATTGCCTTCACTCTTGCAGGGTGAAATGCTGGTGAGAACTGAAGTGCAGCGGATAATGCTCACAATAACCTAATAGTTCTGGCTCAGGGTTGGTTAAGACTGACTTCTCCTGAGGGGTTTGTATGGAGATGCTCACGCTCTGGGCTGGTGTTCCAGCTGGGAGACTGCAACAACGGTGGTGAGGAAGAGCCCTTCCTGGAAAGGTGTGTGGCCCTCAATGGACTGGCACTTAGGGCAGCCAGAAGATCCTCCTGTTACTCCACTGCTAGTCAGTGGCTACACATCAGGTGAAATGCAGACATCGTTGTTCTGCACTTGCAGCTGACCTTAGATCCACTAGGGACTCCCCCTGTTGCACCTGAAATTGTACTACTGAGCCGATTCCTACAGCCATACAGTAAGAGATGTTCCTGGGTAGGACTGGCTCTGGTCTCTACTAAAGCCTTCCATCAGTTTCTGTCTTGTTAAAGAGCTAGGGTAGTAGAAAAGAAGAGGTAAGGAATGACTTTGTCTTATGTCCCAGTTGAAGTAGAGGAATGTAAAGCTACCAACTTTGTAAACAATAACTTTGACATTTAAGGCAAGGCTCACGTGACCCCTTACGTAGTGTTGTGAATTCGGAAGTGGAAGTAGCAAAAGACATTTCCTTTACATTCTTGGCCTGCCAAAACTCTGCAGCAGACTAAGGAAGTCTCCTCCTCTCTCCCATTTTCCTGCCTGCTGCCTCTGCTCCAATCTCAGCTGCAGTCCTAACACACTACCTTGCTCTTGTGGTTTGAAAGCCGCTAAGAGTGGAATCTCAAAATAATGATCTTCCCCTTGTGTTTTGTTAGTCTTCAATAAATGTAGCTCTACCTGCTTCTTATGAAAAATGCACATAAAGCTACATCTGTTGTTTTTGTCAGCTCAATGAACAACCAATTAATTACCATGTAGTCAGCCCTTCTAAACAGACCAGCGTTACAGACAGGCTTCTAGTAATGCATTAGCACTGCAATTACCTTTGCAATTAACTTACCAAGCCTGGAACTGTTAATATGGAAGGCGGCTGTCTGTAAATTGAACTTAAATGGCCAAACTTCTGACTCTCAAATGTACTGTTTCTGTAGGATTCCTTTACAAAAACTAAAGGTATTGCTACCTTGTCATGGATTTGAGAGCTCACCCATGATTTAGCATTTGTATTAGTCTTAAATCTCTCTATACAGTCTATTGTGTGTCAGTGTCTTGGCTCATCTTCTGTTGCCTAGTAAAAATTGTTACCTCTTAGCAGGCTGACCATGGGCTATCTTGACAAGCATGTCAAGGGGTGAAGTAAGCTTAGCCTTCATTTGCTTTAGTCTGATGTAGAAACCTGCATCTTCAAAGGCAGTTTGAAGAAATAGCTTAAAATGAGCAAGAACTATAGGAATGTGAGAAGCTCAAAGCACTGAATGCAAGAGAGTCACGTGCCATTGTGAAGGACACCAACCGTGAATGTAACGTTGCTGAATATGGTGAAACTACACAGCTTCATTGTCTATTTTTTCCCACTGCAGGAGTTGGAAGATGCAGCAAGCCCGATAGTGAGGCCAGAGGAGTCTCGTGAAAGAAGTCGGCCAGAAGAGTCTCGTGAAAGAAGTCTGCCAATCTGAAATATTGACCATGTCTATTATGGATCATAGCCCCACCACCGGAGTGGTGACTGTTATTGTTATTTTGATTGCTATTGCAGCTCTTGGTGCCTTGATACTGGGCTGCTGGTGTTACCTGCGTCTGCAGAGGATCAGCCAGTCTGAAGATGAGGAAAGCATCGTGGGTGAAGGAGAAACCAAAGAGCCCTTTCTTCTGGTGCAGTACTCTGCTAAAGGACCTTGTGTAGAGAGGAAAGCGAAGCTAACTCCAAATGGCACAGAAGTACATAGCTAACGTGGAGCAACACGTGTACGGACGATGCTTGTGATGCGCGTAACCGGCGGAAGAATATCTATACTGTGAAGAACCTGGTCACATGCACACTACTCATCAGAAAACACCCTGATGAGGATTAAATAAGCTTTGTTTGCAACTGCATGCACTGAGAAGTTGCACTTTGCATCAACTGCGTATCCTAATTCCTCTCTGACGGGAGCTGACTCACCTGGCATAACGTCCATTGCCGGCAATGGACACCGGGATATTCTGGTGTGAAGAGACTACTAGCGTTTTTTGTTACTTGAATGTTTAGCTGAGCCTATTTTGATGGAGCTACTACTGTAACGTGAATTACTTTACAACTGTGAACTGTAAATAGGCTGCCGGAAGCTTTTTGCCTCGTGTTCCACAGCATATGGGAATATGATGCACCTGTACATAACACACCCGGGGACTCCTGAACCACAACTGTAGATGGGACTCCAGACCTTCAAAACCAGATCTGCAGTTAAAGCTTGCTTCTGCTACTAGCTTGAGTGTACAGCCATAAAGTCAGAACTCCTACTCTTAACAGTTTATTGGACTAATGCAGAATACTTCCTTTGAAAAGAAGGTATAAGCCTTCAGTAAAATGTTGAGGGAGGAAACACAGGAGCTACAAGAAAGGAAGTGATTTCCTTTAGTTGCAGCTAGGTGGGTTCAGCTTTTGGCTGCTAGAACCGATTTCTCCAACTATGTAGCTACTGCAAGGAAACTGCCATTTTGACAGATTCCAGCCTGGGAACTAATGATGGATACTGAACCGCCAGGGATGGTCCCGAAGGTTTCCAGGAGTTTGAAATGGCAGTAGAGCAGGCTTTTCCCTTCTGTAGGTCTGCATGCTGAAGCTGCAGAAGTGGTTACTTATTAAAACTGGCGTAAGTGCAACTAGTATGAATTTTTCCTAGAACCCCTGTTTGTGTCCTTAGCAGTTAGGGTGTATGTTAACAGCCTGTTGTAAAAAGGCATTTTAGTCTGCAGACAAACAGTCAACTGTAGAATTCAGTTAATGTATCTTGTAGATAAGTCTCTTGATTTAACTGTGCTACTATGAGATAAGTTTCAGTCCTTCCTCCAAAAACAAATGTTGGTGGGGGAAGGGAGATAGATTGCTTGTCAGTTCGTACAAGTTTTTAGCTGGCAATGGTGAAGTCCTTCCAAAGAAGGACATCCCTTCCCTCTGCTCTGTGCTACCATTCAGCTCTAGGAACTGTAAAAAGATGTGTTAAATGGGGAGTTCTGGACCTCAAAGATGTGCGGGGAGGAGAAGGAACAACACTGAGCCACCAGGGGCAGTTACATACCCTAAAACTCTTAGGGTAGGCACGTGTGCTTTGAGGCCACTGACCTGTTTTCTATGACTTTATATATAGCTTCCTTTGCCTACTGACATTTTTAAACACTCAATTGCCTAGGAGAAGAAAAGCTACTGTAAATCTGTTCCCTGAGATAAGTTACAAATAACGAAGTCCAAGTTCTTCGGCTCCACAGGAAGCATTAGCCTTGCTTCTTGTACCTGGCCATGTGGAATAACTGAGTAACGTAGGCCTAGCAAGCTTGAGAACTGTAACTACGCGCAAGACGGTAACGGCCTAGCCAAAAAATCTTGTCCCTTTCTTCTACAGTAAGATGTTGACTTGCAGTTTTAGTGCTACATTTGCTTTTTTTTTTTTTTAATTGAAGGCTATAATTTAAGCAAAATTAATGCTGTCAGTAGCAAAAAGCTCCTGCTGTTGCCTCTGGAGTACACTGTGGGGTACAGCCGATAGAGGGCTGTTTTCACCCTGGCACATGTTTTTTTTTAAGATACTAGTCCCATGAGACTTGCATGTATAGCAAGACCCATATAGTTAAACTGCTGTCTTCTAGACCCCTTACAAATCAAAAAGAAAAGGATTAATTCAATAAGACTTTCTTTAGTTTTCAGTAGAGAACAGTTCACACATGGCTCTTGCAAGTTTCAAGACGGAGAACCGGTATACAAAAGTGATACAAAGTGCTGAAGTTCTAGAACAGAATAGTTGTAGCAAGATGACTTTGTCCATTCAAGTTTACTGATTACACAGATGAAGTATCTCTATTTTAATTCAGCAAAGAGAACGCAGTGTAAAGGGCAAACTTCAGAAATTACGGAAAAGTATAAATCAAAGGTCTAATTTCTCTTCTAGCAGCTGTAAGAGAAAGCCAGTGAAAAACAACTGGTCCTTGGTCAGAGGCGCTTCACACTGCTGCCCTTAAAAATCAGCATCTTTAATTTAAATGGATAGGTGTTTGCAAGTTAGTGCAATAGTAAAGTGCAGAAAGTGTTTTCCATTCTCCTCTTCTCTTTAGATGTGGGTATCTAATAAGTTGTTCAAGTATACAAAAATATTCCATTTAATTTTTCTTTTTCTAGATCATGTGGGGGAAGAAGTCTTTATTTACAATGAATTTCAATAAAATTTGCATAAATACCTACCCAATACTGCATCACTTGACTTTGTGTAAGCAATCATTCTGTCCTGTTTCCACTACTGTGCTCTGTCTCTATGCTATCAGTGTTATCAATCCTTTTCTCCTCTGTTGAAACTGATACATCGTTATCTTCAGAAAGTGTTTGTTCTGACTGCAGGGGTTCTTTAATTTCATCTTTGCTCTGTAGCTTTCCTTCCCTCGATGCCACCAGGATTCTCAGTAAAGTATTCTCTTTAAGAAGATTTTCTGATGCATCAGCTAATTCTTGAAGCTTTCCAGCCATTTCTAATAATTCTTGATTCTTCTGGTCATATGTGGCCTGTAACTGCTCACTGTGGAGCTGCAGAGTCTTGTGCTGCTTTTCCAGTCTGTGTTTTTGCTGCTGCAGCCTCTGTTCCTCTCTCCGAGCTTCAGAGAGCTGTGCTTCAAGCTGGTTGTGGGCCAGATGAAGGGCACTGATCTCCGATCTTAACTTCTGAATTTCTCTCTCTAAGTGGGAGATGTGTCCTTGCTGCAGAACTGTCTCTTTGTGTAGGCATTCTTTGGTACAGGGCTCTGACGAAGAAAGACTTGAGTGATGTAAAATGAATTTAAGGAGATTAGGAAGATTAACTGAAAAGTCTTCAGGGAACTTCACGCTTTGTTCCTTCCTAGAAAGACATAAGAAGTTCATATTAAAACACTCAGGTAAGCACTCATCATTTTATCTAAGCATCTGCTGTTCAATGCCAACTTGGTATCTTGGTTTTATCAAGAATGGTTAATACAGCAGCTAAGAGAAATCTGAACTCATGTATTAAAGACAGAGCGCACAGTATTTGCCTTTGATGCACCCTTTTACCCGTATTCCAGTCTGGGTGCTGTAAGCAGCTCTGCGCTGGATTGGTATTTATTTGTCCAAGAGCAAAATTTTCTGTCAAATTGCAGGAAATGGCACTGGTGAGGCCGCCCCTCGAGTACTGTGTTCAGTTTTGGGCCCCTCACCCCAAGAAGGACATCAAGGTGCACCAACGAAGTTGGTGAAGGGTCTGGAGCACAAGTCTTATGAGGAGCGGCTGAGGGAGCTGGGGTTGTTTAGCCGGGAGAAGAGGAGGCTGAGGGGAGACCTTATCGCTCTCTACAACTCCCTGACAGGAGGCTGTAGCAAGGTGGGGGTCGGTCTCTTCTCCCCAGCAACGAGTGATAGGACGAGGGGAAACGGCCTCAAGCTGCGCCAGGGGAGGTTTAGGTTAGACATTAGGAAAAACTTCTTCACCGAAAGGGTGGTCAAGCATTGGAACAGGCTGCCCAGGGAAGTGGTTGAGTCTCCATCCCTGGAGGTATTTAAAGAACGGATAGGTGTGGTGCTCGAGGACATGGTATAGATGGACTTGGCAGTGATAGGTTGACGGTTGGACTCGATGATCTTAAGGGTCTTTTCCAACCTTGATGATTCTATGATTCTATGAAACAAATTCTACTTTTCTAAGTATCCCAATTATGGGTTGTGAGCTTGACATACATGTGGTAGCAGACTGGTGGGCAGGTGTGATCGGAGCACACGGACAGAAACATTTGTTAGTAAGCTCAAGGAGAACATTTAAGTGTTCCTGATTCTACAGACATTGTTAGAAGTTAAGTCCAGATGCATATAAACTGATGGGAAATGACTATTTTGAGCCTATATATGTTATCCTGGAAGAATTAGCTTAATGTCTTCCAACATCAGAAGGGTATTGCAAGGAGCAGAGAAGTACAGTTTGCTTTTGAACAGTAAGCAATTGCTTTAGTGAGAAGCAAGGCCCTTTTGCTGTCAAAAAACCCAAATCTTTTTACTTGTTCCTCTTACACTTTTGTCTTTATGCCACTGAGGTGATCAAGGAAGCAAACCAAAAGCTTTTGTTGGTTGTTTTTTTTTCCTGAAGCTCATTATATGGCTGTGAATACTAAGCCCAGCACATGAAGCGGGCTTTCTGAAGTTGCTTTTTGCCACAGCATAAACTGTTACTTTTCACCTGACAAAGAGTCCAAGCTGCTTGAAGACCAACAAGTACCAAATTTCTTCAAGCCTACTAACCACCAAAAGACAGCCACAACGTCCAGCTGTGTCAAATGTTAGAATTATTGCCCTTTTTGGACCACATGCATACTTCTATCACATAGGAGGCTAAACTGAGGACTAGACAGGAACTAACCCTTAGCCTTCTCTTTCTGAACCACTTACGTCTTCAACCTTTACTCGGCACGTTCCAGGGTGAGTTTGCTGCCTCCCGACGATTGCAGTAGAGCTACTTATACTTCAGTATGTTTAACTGGGAAGCTAGCTAATAGTTTTATCACTTTCTATCATCTTTAGCCTTTTGCCAGTTCAGAAGCATGTTCTCTCTTTCATTAGGGAGCCATCAAAACAGAAGTTTACTTCCCTTTGGTTGCCAAATTCATAACCAGATGAATGGTATGTAGCGTAGATTCAGACGGGTTAATTACCCAAGTCAGAAAAAGGACATAGGATAAACCCAAAGAAAACTTATTCCAAAGCAAGAAAGCCAGATTAAAGTATAATGCCCAATGCCTGGAAGTTCACCACTGCTGCTCCTGCCAACACACACTACAGCCAACGCCTGCGTCCCCGCATGTGTGACGTTGGGTTTCTGACCTGCTTACGCTGTGCATCGGGAACGGGGAGTTACTCAGGTACCAGTTACCGTTGCCTCAAAAAAGCTTTCTGTGAAATCCAACTCATGAGTGTACGGGATATAAACACACGCTATTTCATT